GGGAAAGAGAGATGGACCCTCAACAGTCTCTGGTCACAACAACATCCCCATTCACCAACCCTCCAACTGGTCAGGATCGTAGGCATGTGCATGTGTTTCAGGTCAGCCAGGCCAGGAGTCCAGACCCACAAGCAGCCATGTCACTTCCAACACTGCAGTTCTGTTTGCTACTGACACCACAGAGACTAGGCCTGAATGGTAATATTTTAACATGATCATGGTATAGAAGTGAGCTTGGAAAGCGAATAGCCATAGGTGGGGAAGAGCTTTCTCTGGCTCCTATTTGAAACTCTCATTCTCCCACTTGGGTAAGAAGGAGGGCAATGGGCTAGGAAAATGAGAGTTTGTAAACTGTGTATTATAAATAAGCAGCATCACAGTGCTAGTATTTAAAACTTCCTAGAACCATACCCTCCAAATGTGAAGGACCTCTGCTTTCACAGGTGAAGATGATGAGTTCCAGGCAAGTTAGATCATTTGCACTATATCTTTTTTTTTCTAAAAATTTTCTAAATATTTTGCATATTTAAGGTATATCACATATTAGAAGCTACATAGAGATGGTAAGAAGGTTACTATAATGAAGCAAATTAATACATCATCTCAGTCGCCCAATTTTTTTTTTTTTGTGGCAAAATCTGCACACCGAGTCTTTTTTATTATTTTAGTTATCTTTTGCATGCGAGAGAGAGAGAGAGAGACACCCCAACATGGCATCCACTTCTCAGGCAACCCCCCTCCTCAGCTAGCATGGATCACAGGTACTTGTGGAGGGAGGCCCCAGGACATGAATGTGGGACCGGCCCATGTGGATCGAACATCACAGAGTGTGGTTGCCCCAGTGTTTCCACTGCACCACTGGCTGGCCCTCACTCTTTAGGCTTCTTGGATTGCTATGTTTTTGGTAGCATTTAAATTTTTCCAGGTCCTAAGATAATTTTTCTTTTTTTTTGGAGAGGATTTTGCTATAGGGCACATGCATTCGCCAGACAGAGAGAGACAGAGAGACAGAAAGCAAGAAATCACCCCCCAGGGGGGATGGTCACGCCGCAGTCCCTTCTCCTCCATTCTCCTCTCGGGATCTTGGGCACGCACTCCCAGCATGAGTTTTAAGCCACCGGGTCCGGGACGCGAACCACGGTCAACTATGTGGGAGTCCAGCGACATAGCCATTACGCTAACTGCTGGTTCCCATCAGGTCCTAAGATAATTTTAACTAAGGCATAAAGAATTTTATTTTTCTCTTATTGGTTTTACTTCTCAGTTGATATTTATTTACATTTGAAGAAGAATTTGGGTCAGACTGTAGTGTACTAGTCACACAACTGAACTCACACAGGAAGCTCCCAGATTCACCTCCCGGGGCCTCCTACCCATGCATGTGCTCTTGATCCGGGCTGGCTGAGACTAGGGTCAGGTTGTTGCATGAGGACCCTTTTAGGAGTGCCTACCTCTTCCAAAAGAAATAAATAAATGAATTTCAAAGTAAAATTTAAAAAATAATAATAATCTTAAATGGGCATTGTTTTTCCCAAACCATTTTGAACCAAGTTCACTTTTCTTTGCCAAGGGCAGTGATAATGACCATGTCATCTCCTGTTGTTGATTTTATGTGCCAGGGAGAAAGACAGAGGGCTGTGTCCCATCCTTATTACTGAGATCCAAAGCCTTCTGTAAGGCAGCAAAGGCTTGGCTGTCTCAGAGCTAAAGCAGGGCTGTCTTCATTCTGCAGGCTTTGTGCCCATCTGCGCTCTGGGGCTGTCTCAGATCGGCCGCATGAATCTCGGGACAGACGCCAGTACCTTCAAGTTTTATACCATGTGTGGCCTCCAAGAAGGCTTTGAGCCTTTTGCTGTCAACATGAACCGAGATGTTGCAATGTGGTTCAGCAAGCGCCTCCCGACATTCGTCAATGTGCCAAAGGATCATCCACACATAGAGGTAATGTTACACGTTGGGGGTGGTCCTGGTGGGGCAGGTGTGCAAGGCACTAAGCTCACACTAATGCTCCTGTCAACAAGCAGCTGCTTACCTAAGCCTGTGCCTTGGCTATGTACCAGCCACCTCCCTACTGGCCCTCAGAGAAGTTGTTGCAGGCACTTTAATTGGGGCAGCTCAGTTGCATCTTATAAGAGAAGACAGTCTCGTGCCTACAGCCTTGCAGATTGATCCCTGAGCCTTTGGGCCACCAGATTGTCTCCAGATATTTCAGTACTGGTGTTGCCAAAGTAATACAGCACCCAGAGGCCTCAAACCTAGTTTTCTTTAAAAACTTTAATACAGGGACCAGCAGTTAGCGTAATGGCTATGTCGCTGGACTCCCATGTAGTCGACCGCGGTTCGCGTCCCGGACCCGGTGGCTTAAAACCCACGCCGGGCACGTGTGCGTGCGTGCCCAAGATCCCGAGAGGAGAATGGAGGAGAAGGGATTGCGGCGTGGCCATCCCCTCTGGGGGGTGATTTCTCGCTTTCTGTCTCTCTGTCTCTTTCTGTCTGTCTGGCGAGCGCACACGCCCTATAGTGAAAAACCTCTCAAAAAAAAAAAAAATTTAATACCTATACTCAAGATTCTATGTTCTGAGCTCATTATGTTCTTATGTTAATAGCTTGATGTTTTAGGCCCTTTTAGATTTTTTTTTATGGTGACATATCCAGGAGTTTAAGCTGAGATATGGCAATTGACTCTGATACGTCCACTGTCTATGGGGAGCTTAAAGGAGCCAAAGATTGAAAGAAGCCTAATCCAGGTTCTCGTCCTGCATCTGCTCATCTGTTTTACCCATGTCGAGCATGGCTTCTTCACAGTGGGGAAAAGGGGGAGACTGCTGACAGTACACTGAACAGCTGCACCCTACAGCAGCATTAGTTGGGGTAGACTCGCTGACTGGCTTCACTTTGACTTAGTTCCCTTAACGTACTCTCCTGTCTCAACTCAGCAAGCAGCAGCTCTCCACTCCCTACTTTCCTTCAGTCTTCAGCAGTGACTTTTGATTCCTCCCTCACCATTACTTTTTTTTTTTTTTTGAGAGATTTTCACTGTAGGGCGCGTGTGCTCGCCAGACAGACAGAGAGAGACATAGAGACAGAAAGCGAGAAATCACCCCCCAGGGGGGATGGTCATGCCGCAATCCCTTCTCCTCCATTTTCCTCTCGGGATCTTGGGCACGCACGCACACGCACCCAGCGTGAGTTTTAAGCCACCGGGTCCGGGACACGAACCGTGGTCGATTACGTGGGAGTCCAGCGACATAGCCATTACGCTAACTGCTGGTTCCCCCTCACCATTACTTTTGAAAAGTGGCTCTTGGAATTTTGGAAGCATGAGCTCCTTTGACAAACTAGAGGCCCTCCACTTAAAAGATAAATGAACCACACACAAATATTCTGGCTTGCTCATGGGCTGCAGAATAGGAATCATTCTCTTTAAAGCAGGATAGAGGCTCCAATGAGAAAAATTATGATTGAAATTTTCAATTTACTTCCCCGTCCTCACCCACACACCCACACACCCACACACAAAAACACACGGACACACACACTTCAAAGTCTAGTTTTGATCTTTCCTTGTCCAGCCCTGAACGCTGCTGTGCTTGTGCCCTAGAGCTACGAATTTCCTGAGTATTTAGACGAGGCTCTAGGAGCCTCAGTCATTAGTCTGCTTGTAGCAGAGATGGGGACCTGGCTGGTTCACAGAGGGTGTTCTCTATGGGAGCCTGGGCTTCTTTTCTGGAACTTTGGGCTTTCTGGTACTCTTTCTTGGGCTTTCTGGTTCTATTTCCCTTTTATGTTCTCAGGCTTGGTGACAAGCAAAATCTATGGAAGGATTTTCTTCTTAAGCCACTTCGCCCTGACCTAAAAGGTCAGCCTCTATGGACACCGCACTGCGTCACCCATATATCACAACCCTCTCTGGCACACATGCTCCACTGTTGGCCTCAAAGGGAACCCAGTGGGTTTTTAAATCTCTTCTTTCTCCAGCCAGAAGCAGATCTGTGATTTTTCTATAGGACGGAGGCCAACCAATGACAAGAATCATAGTTTGCCTGTCTCTGTCAACAGCTTCTATAGTTCACAGAATGCCTTGTTGCGGCTACATTGAGTACATCAAGAAGGAAAAAAGGGACAGGGCAAAGGTCCGGCCCTCTAGTAGGTGAGTATATGGGCTATGCTGTTTCCAGGTCATAAGAATTGATGGCACCATGGACAGCCCTCCTTGCCTCAAGGTGACCCACAAGACATTTGGCACACAGAACAGCAATGCCAGCATGATCTACTGCCGTCTGAGCATGCCCGTCGAGTGCCACTCGTCCTTCAGCCACAGCCCCTGTCTGGACAGTGAGGCTTTCCAGAAAAGGTGAGAAGGGAGGGGCCGGCTCTCTGTGCTCATTGTGTCTGCTCTACACTGAACTCTGTGGGTAGGATTGAGAAATGAGGATGTGTGCACACCCATGTGTTCATATGTGCACACGTGTGTGTGTGTGTGTGCGCGCGTGCGTGCACACTAACCAAACTAAACAGTCACGTGTGATGGCACTCTTGGAATCCCTAGCTCCCTGGCTGCCCACAATTTCTGTTTTTGGAGTAAAAGGGATGAGAGTACATGAGAAGGTGCAACTGTTGCTTTTGTGTGCAATGAGATGCTCCTGGGGGGTAGACAGATCCTGTTTTCTCTGCATAACTGTGGGCACTGTCCAACCCTGCGGCTGTGTGACTCATGAGTAATGCACCTTCTCCCTTCCTGATTGGGCATGTATTCCTGGCTGTCCCTCTTTCTTTGATGTCTATTTTTAATCATTGATGTCTGTCGTGTCTAGAACTGTCTTGTCCAGGATTCCTCTGGATTTCTATCTACTAACCTTTTAAACAAGCACAGCTGCTTCAAAGAACAGAATAAGCCATTTGGAGTTTTCCCTGCTTGTTCGATTGCAATCCCCCGTCTCTCTCTCTCTCAGCTCTAACTTGCCATCTGGGCAGAGGGATGAGTTGGAAGTCATAGCCCTGCCTCGTGGTGGCAGCTTCCAAGTGAACAAATTCCAAAACTAGTTGCGATCACTCGGGTATAGTAAATAGCCAGTTTCCTCAACTCGCCTTGATCGTTTAGGGTAGATCAATTGCCTGTCAGAACTGTGGGATTCTCGGTATAACTGAATAACTAAAACATGGATTATCTCCCCCCCAGGAAACAGATGCAAGAAATTCTCTCGCATACAACAACAGTAAGTAAATGTGCCCAATTATGGTTTTAATTATTTGATTCTTTGCTGCGCCTGGTAATATGCCCCTTACAGCAAAGATCTATCGAGAGATCCTCTTTAATTGCCAATTACTCTGTCTTTTAATATCCATTTTGATTCTTCCAGAACACATCTGTGGCATTTCTCAAATGAGGGGAAGAGAGATGGTTATTCAGTACAAGACAGAAGCTCTACCTGGAGCTCCTAATTGGGCAGCATTGTGTACTCATTACCCATTTGCCACAAGAGACCCAACACTGCCTTTTCTGATTGAAACTCGGTTGGAGGGTTTCAATTAAATCCTTTTGTTTGCTCTTTTGTGTAAACTTCCACGAGCCGGCTTTCCATGCCTCTGTGCAGGCGCAGAGTAATGTTGAAAGCAATCGAGTGTGTGGAAGGATCAAGAAACCAGCCCAGAAGATGGAGGCTGCTTTTGGTCTCTTTTTCCATAGCTCCAGAGTAGTCAGAAAGCATCATTTCCTAATTTCTTTTTCTCTCATTCTCCTTTAGCTCCTGGCAAAGAAAAAAAATGTCTAAGAAAGAAATGCATGTCCACTCCTTCTATAAAGTTACCCAGTAACCCTGACGTCACAGATTAGCCACAGGCGCAGAGTAATGTTGAAAGCAATCGAGTGTGTGGAAGGATCAAGAAACCAGCCCAGAAGATGGAGGCTGCTTTTGGTCTCTTTTTCCATAGCTCCAGAGTAGTCAGAAAGCATCATTTCCTAATTTCTTTTTCTCTCATTCTCCTTTAGCTCCTGGCAAAGAAAAAAAAATGTCTAAGAAAGAAATGCATGTCACTCCTTCTATAAAGTTACCCAGTAACCCTGACGTCACAGATTAGCCACGTCACCAGGAATGAGGTGCTTGCTGCAGCGGATAATACACGCAGTACAGGCAGAATGCCGTGCTCGGCATATCGTGTCTCCCCATTTCATCTTCATGCATTTAAGACTAATGTAATCATTAATCCCGTGAGACAGGTGATACTGCATACCATATTATGCTCAGAAAAGACAAGTGACTTTTCCAAGGTCACACAGTCAATAACCAACAGGACCAAGATTCAAGTCCAGTCAGTCTGGCTGACCCTTTGTCCTTCTAATTGAGAAAATTGGGCAGACTACGAATATGAGCCACTTTATTAAGAATAAATCTGCTTAGTTTCATCAAGAAAATGATGCAGTCACCTTCCTCAGTACTGTAGCTGTTACTGTAACAAAACGATGCACCTCACAGCTGTAGGACAACCCCAAGAACTGCAGTGCTTCTCAACACTGCCTGAGGTTGGACGTGATGGCCACACAGAGCACATTCGGTCATGACATAGGCTTTTTCTTTCACAGCCTCTTTCTCAAGATTTAAAAAATAACACAAAACCTCAGTTGGCCCTATAGAAATAGATAAAGTAGCTAGGTGCTCTGACCCTTGACTGGCCTCCCTCTGAGGGTAAGGACTGTGCCCAGCTGTCCTCTGTAGCCCAAGGCCAGCCTGGTGCCCAGGAGCAGGTTAGGACTCCATGCCGACCCTCTGAGCAGCTGCCACTGATGCCATCAACAGCATCTCCTGAGTAAAGTGCAGATTAAGTGCTTGCTTTTCTAGGTACTAAAGCAAAATAGAAGAGGGTAAATTAGGAAGCCAGAGTCTCAATTCAGCCCTCCTTCCAAGTCTAGAGCATAGTATGAGGGGATTTCAAAAACTTTGTGAGGGCCAGCCAGTGGCATGGTGGTTAAGGTGGCTGGATCCCACATGGCTGGCTAAGCAGTTCAAGTCCTGGACTTGGCAACTTGAAATACACACTAGGCACATGTGCATGTATGCCTAAAGTCCCAAAAGGAGGGAGAGAGGGAGGAAAAGGGATTGAGGCATGGCCATCCCCCTAGGTGGGTGCTTTCTCACTTTTCCCCCCATCCTCTCTCTCTCTTCCTCTCTCTCTCTCTTCCTCTCTCTCTCTTTCTCTCTCTCTCTCTCTCTCCAGCCTGTGTACATGGATTCTAGCAAATTTAAAAAAAATTGTGGAAATTGAATTTAAATGCAAGTTTATTTTGGTGCAAATAGTTTGAAATCCATGCATAATTTTTTCATAGCACAATTTTCTGTGCACTTTTTGAAGACCTCTCTTCCACCTCTATGGGTGTTTGCTTTTTCACAAAACTAGGGCCAAGTGGGCCACTGTGCTCTCTTCCTTGCCAGTCCCTCGCCCAGGCGTGGGGCTTTCACTCCCTCTCTGGTCTCTCCACAGCAATGCTACTACGCCATCCGCATCTTTGCTGGGCAGGACCCCTCCTGTGTCTGGGTCGGGTGGGTGACCCCAGACTATCACTTGTACAGTGAGAAGTTTGACCTGAATAGAAACTGTACAGTGACTGTCACCCTGGGCGATGAAAGAGGCCGGGTCCATGAAAGGTAAATAAAAGGGTTCTGGAGGGGCAGGGGTGCCCACGGTCTCCTTGCTTCCACTCCCTAACAGTTTTTTCCCTCCCACCTCATACATTTCAGCCTCTCTTAAAAGGGGGAAAATGAGGCCAGCCCATGGCCTGGTGGTTAAAGTGGATAAATTCCACATGTCCAACTGGCACAGTTCATGTTTTAGATCTAACGACTTGAGATATGCACCAGGTCTCTTTGCGTGTGTGCCCAAAATCCCAAAAGAAGGGAGAGATGGAGGAGAAGGAGTTGTAGCATGACCACACCCCATGGGGGGTGCTCTCTCGCTTTCGCTTGCACATTCTCGCTCCCTCTCTTTCACTTGTTCTCTCTCTCCAACACTCTCTGACAAGTAAAAAGTGATAATTAAGGACCCAATTTCTACAACATTGAACCAGACAGAGAAAACCCTTTATTGCTTGAAAGTTGGTTCAGAAGAAATTAAAGGATGTACCATATCACATAGCAGCTTGGAGCTCTGCATCCCAGGAGTCTGTAATGGCCGAAAGGAGAAAGAATAGAAAACAGACATAGCAAATCCATGGATAATACCATTAAATAGGAATTGGGAATTTTTAGGAAAACCTGTTTGAGGCACACGTATACCCTCCCACCAGTCTGGTCATGCTACTGTCAAAGAAAGAATCCTTGGTGACCAGATGTGCACCCAAGGTGACTCAGGACCAAGGCCATGATTTCTAGTACATTCCTCACCTGTTGCTTTTTCAGGAAAAAAAGGCATTTTTCCCCTTTGCAGCTATGTGTGGGAATATGGCAAGTTGTTTCTAAAGCTTGACCTTTACTCCCTACAAAGTTGGGAACGTTTGGCAATCCAATGCTCTTTAGATGATGCACACTTGTCAAAGACTAATGCTGGGGCCGGATGGTGGCACAGTGGTGAACCAAGGCAGTCCCACATGGGAATGTTGTCAGTTCTCATCCAGAGACCTCCCTGAGTATGCTGGCATGCATGCCTATGTTCTGGGGCTGGACAATGGTGGATTGTGGTGTTGTGACCCTGGTAGTGATGCCGTCTCTTTTTGTCTCTCTTACTCATGGAGGAAATAAATTTTAAAATAAAAAAAAGGAAAAAAAGACTAATGGCTAGAGGTGAATCACTCACTGTGCCATGAGGCACAAGTGCATGTGGGTGGTTAAGAGCACAGACTGCCCGGTTTTTAACTAAGTTTACAGTACTACTAGGAGTGTGACCTGAGAACAAGTCATTCAACTCCCCCTCTATAGAATAAACATAAGAGTTCTGATCACATAGAGTGTCATGTGAATTAAATGAGCTAATTCAGAGAAAATGCTTAAGATAGCACCTTGACTCAAACACCCAGTAAATATTTAGCATTGTCATTGCCATTCTTAAATGCCCATTATGGTATCAGAACCAGAGTAGATGGTGTGAGAAGCATCTGGTTTAAGTTGGAAAAGAATAAGTGTGAAAGCAATTGACCAGTCCAGGCTTTGGTCTTCAGACAGGAGGGAAGAAAGATGGTAGAAATGTCCGCCTCATTCGGGTTTATTGCTCCAGTTTGCTGGCTCTGCCACACTAGGCAGATTGCTTGGTTTATTTGAGCCCCAGAGACCAGACCACATTTATTGTGAAAAGTAACTGGCATGTTAGAGCCTAGGATAAGAACCAGTATATGGTAGACACTCAATAATTCTTAGTTCTTTGCTGCACCTGATAGGCAGTAAATACAGAATCGATTTTCAGATGTTTTAGATCATTTTGAATTGGGACCCTTTAAAATATGCCCAAAATTTGCTGCTTCATGTTCTCACAGCTTCAATGCATTATTAATTGGATTTTGTATTAGTTATTAATGCATTTAGTACTTCAGTCACTAAAAACCAGCAATAACACGGCTGCAGTTTAACTTCTATCGAAATATAACAATGGCTATAACTCTGAAAGAGGCTATTCATGTTGGCCCCTGTCTGAGAAGAGAGGATGTGAATGAATACTTATAAAGGAGATTTTTCACCCTCAGGGAAAGTGAAGGAACCTCAGAGAATCCTAGTCAAACTCTTGGCTTTCCAAATGAAGGCACAGTCCAGAGACAGACAGCAACTTTAATAGTTCACAGGGTCTGTTCTGATCTGTCCCCCCACACAGTGCTTGCCGAATGCATTCTTCTTGACCCTGGGGTGGGCCTGTCCCCACACAGCCAAGGGCCACATGGGAAACCAAGGGAGTCACATCAGATCGACCTTCAGACATTTCAGGGAGTTACTGTGGCATCAGGTATAGAGTTGTTCATTCATTTAACCTGAGCACTATGTTACTTGGATGATATACACTGGTGAAGGCTGAGAGGAGACAGAATTGGCAACCTTTTGCTAGAGCCCACCGTGAGGGGCTCAGGAATCACCTCAGCCATTGCCCATCTTCTCCACAACTCACCGGGGTATGAAGTCCTGCATTTAAGACATTTGGTTTTGGAGCCTTAAAGTCATCTGGTTCTTATGGTTTGCTTTTAAGTGTAAATGCTTATCATGGAGTTCTCCATCCTTGGGTTGGTAGACAGCTGAGACAGGCACCAAGCTGTTGGTTTGCCAGAGATGCAGGAGGCAGGACTCTAGAGATCGGGAAGGTGGGAGCGCATCGAAGGTAGTTTGTCTATTTCATAAGTCTCCCGTGGCCTAGGCCTTCATCCTAAGGAGTCTTAGAATGAGTTTTCAAGTGTTTTATAGTCTTTGCCCTTGTCATCAAATTGGGACTCTTAATCCAGATATTTTATTCTACCTCTTTTTTTTTTATGATAGAGTGTGTGTGCACATGTAAGAAAGATAGACACACCCTCAACAGGGTCTTGTCATGCTACAATCCCCTTTCCCTAGCTGCTAGCTCCTCAAGATCCTGGGTGCCCACATGTACCCAGTATGTTTTCAAACTGCCCTGGGGATCTGAGCCCACAGTTAGTCATGTGACCTCTAGCATGGCAGGTTCCTGTGTTACCACTGGATCACAACAGCTTGGCCTACCCTGCCTCTTACACCAAATCCTTATATAAGTATTCTTAAGTGGTCACCCTCTCACTGCCTCAGTATTCCATCCCTAAGGTGGGAATACTACCATCCCCTTTATCTTCTTTACAAAGATGAGCTGACAGAGTCCAGAAACAGGCATCTAAACCTGGTGCTCTTTGAATGGAGGTAGCCTAATAGATTGCCACATTCCTAAACTGAGTGGTCCATGCCTGGATAGAGTGAGTCGAAGGTAAATGAATGTATTTAAGAAAAAAAAATTATTGAGGTCTGATCAGACAGCCTCATAAGTATTTTACTCTTGAGTTTTGATTACACACTGCCTCAGTTCAGATTGTGTGTCTTGTCCTCTCTCTTTGGCTTCCAGTGTGAAACGTAGCAACTGCTACATGATCTGGGGTGGCGACATCGTAGCCAGTTCCCAAAGATCAAGTCGAAGCAACGTGGACCTGGAGATTGGCTGTTTATTGGACCTGGCAATGGGCATGTTGTCCTTCTCAGCCAATGGGAAAGAACTTGGCACCTGCTACCAGGTAGGGCAGCTTCTACAGCTGAGACAGTAGTGTCCCAGGCCTGGTGTTTATGACTCTGTTCTTCATTCTTTCTTAGATTCAGCATCTCCACCCCAGCATGCCGAGGTGATAAGCCTATGTGGTCTACGAACCACAAAGTGACTTCATTTTTATAGAGGGAAGAAAGGAGATGGGGAGAATACTTAGTGATTAATCAAATATTTTGGTCAACTTTCTAGAGGATGAAGAGACTTTTCCTTGATGATTAAGGCTCTAAAATGTTATTCCTTTATTACATAAGTATTTCTTGGCCAGGCCATATGGTTACCTATACTATGTAAGCTACAGAGATTTATAAGGTGACTACAGATGGGTTTTACTTTAAGAAATTTCTGTGCTCAAAATAGAAACTATAAAAACTGATTAATTTGCCAGGCAGTATTCCCCTGGCAAAATTATTATTCACATTCCCTATAGATACCTTGCAGGATCCTTTAAAAATATGTTTGTAAAAGTTATGTGTTTCCCTATTTCATGGACTATGAACTTCTGCAAAACTACTTAGGAAAACCATCAGTCACACACAAGCAGATTTATCTGTCATTAACCATAAAAACCTGATCTTTTTATCTTAGATGGCTAAATGATCTTGGAAAAATATCATATGAAATCTTCTTCTAGAAGTTTTGCAATGAATGTTAACACATTAGAAACTTTGAGCAATACTTCAGGAAGAAATGCATTTAACCAAGCAAGTTAAGTCAAGAAAAGAAATATTTTAACTTTAATAATTGATAAATTTCTATGAACCTAGAGATCCACAGAGCATACTACAGAGAATGCTAAGTTTAAGAAGTTAAAACAACTGGATTAAACATTCTTGACACAGGTAGAATAGAGAATCACATGTATGGGTAGACAGAGTGTTTCACGAATTCACCCTTCCCTACTGAAGAAAGTCAGGAAAGTGTTTTATAAAAATACTGATTTTGAAGAAAAATAAATCTTGCAAATGAAGAGAGAGGAGTTTTCAGGATTGAATGAGTGGGGGAACCAGCAGTTAGCGTAATGGCTATGTCGCTGGACTCCCACGTAGTCGACCGCGGTTCGCATCCCAGACCCGGTAGCTTAAAACTCACGCTGGGCGCGTGTGCATGCGTGCCCAAAATCCCAAGAGGAGAATGGAGGAGAAGGGATTGTGGTGTGACCATCCCCCCTGGGGGGTGATTTCTCACTTTCTGCCTCTATGTCTCTGTCTATCTGGCGAGCGCACGCGCCCTATAGGGAAAACCTCTCAAAAAAAAAAAAGAAAAAGTAAAAAAAAAAAGTAAAGATTGAATGAGTGGCACAGAGCATTATGGATTTAGGGAAGCAGAAAGTGTGTGTAAGGATCAATGAACAGGATAATAAGGGTCTTTATAGTTAATGGCAGTAGAGTCATTTGGAAAGGTAAAGAGGTACAGATAGAACTTGGGAAGCCATTGAAGGTTTCTAAGCAGGAGAGTGACTAAGGAAGCCAACATTCTTCCAAGGTCAATAGGTTAGCTAACTACAGTAGATAAAAAACATCCTGCTGTTATGTAAGTGGATCCTTCTGTTAGCCCCAGGTTACAGCCACTGGCCTGAAAAGCTTCTTGCTAGCTAGTTGTCTGGCCTGTGGTTGAAGAGATGGGCTCTGGGGGAGATAAAAGAGTAGCTATCCCAAACCTGAACTGTTCATTGACCAAAAATAGATGGACCGAGCCCAGCTGCAGTGACATGTACTGTTTAAGACACGACTGCTCTATAGGCTGCGTCCACGTGGAAGTCCAGGTTTGATTGCTTGGCCTGAAAGCCAGGCGTAATGGCTTATAATCTCAGCTACTGGGAGACTAAGGCAAGCTGAGATAGGCTGGCCTGGGCAACATAGCAAGACCTTGTCTTAAAGGAACCAAGGGAGTAGCCAGTCAGGTGGCATGGTGCTTAAGACAACTGGTTTCCACATGATTGACCATGTGGTTTGAGTCTGGGACCTGGCAGCTTGAAAAACATGTCAAGCATGTGTGCAAGCATGCCCAAAATCCTGAGAAGAGAATGGAGGAGAAGGTATTATGGCATGGTCATCCCCACCACCACCCCCAAGATGTGATATTTCTCTCTCTTGCTTGCTCACGAATGCACATGCTCTATAGCAAAAAAGAAAAAAGAGAGAGAGAAAAAAAAAAAGAAAAAAAAACTGGGATGATAGGGGACCAGTGACACAGCAATGAAAATGACACTCTGTGAGGCTGATCCACATGGAAAGGTTCTGAGCTCATACCTGGAGACCTCCTTGAGTTTGTGGGGGCATGTATATGCCCATGACCCAGGATGGGCTGAAGGTGAATTGTGGCAAGACCCTGTTGCAGGTATATTCATTCTGTCACTCAGTCTCTCTCATTCGTGGAGAAAATTAAAAAATTTAAAAAAGAAAGGAAAGAAAAAAAGAGCCAGGTGAGGTGGTGTACACTTCTTGTCCCAGCTGAGGAAGCTGGGATTGGGAGGATTGTGACACAGTGAGATCCTCACCTTAAAAAAATAAATTTAAAAAAAGAAAGAAAAAGAACAGATAAAGCAGACCCCTCCTGGCATCCTGGACAGCCTGTGGGCCTGGAACAGTCACCTGGTCTCCCCGGCACCTCCTGCAGTACCTGACTCTCTGCATCTCCATCTCCTCCTAAGAAAGAGTGGACTTACCCACACTTGGCAAACTTGGTCCAGCAGCCAGGGCCCAACCAGCTCTTTCCAGAAGGAAGCATTAGAAGCCAGAGTTTGAGGCAGAAAGTAAAGTGTTATCCTTTTCCACCTCCCCCACCCGGTAAGACCCCTGAGAAATTGTTGTATATACATGGCTGCTGTCCTTCAGAATCCATTAACTTTTTCCCATTAACTTTGGAAATGAGTTTAGCTAAAAGGTCCTCCCTGAGCTGCAGAAAACTCTAAAGCATCTAATAACTTTTTAAGGCTAGTTGGGCCTGGGAGTGCCCAAATAATAATGAATTCATTAAAAACAAAACAAAACAAACCATGGCATTCACATGGCAGTGACTCTCCTGACTCAGGACAGCCCATGATATTGAGGCAATGTTACAACCAAGAGGAAGACACTGCAGCAGTTTTATCTCATCTTTCACAGTGGTTCCTAGGAGACACGGGGCTAGTCAGCTGAGAGTTGGCGCCTTCCTCTACTCGATGCACAAATCTTGATTACACTGCTCAGGGTCCCAGTCCTGATTCTTGCCCTGAGCAACACAGTGTGAGCAAGTGTCAGGGCTCTGGCTGGGCCCTCCGGGAAGGCACACACCCAGCCCCCTTCTCATCCCAGGCAAGACAGTAACATGTCCAGCCGTGCCTCCAGTCTCCAGCAGTGGGATGATTGTTATTCTGCAGCTGTAGCCATTTTCATTTTTCAATTATCTCAAGAGGAACAGGCCAGCAATATTTATACACTGGCTTTCTATTCAAAAAGGACCAGTAACCAAAATAATAAGAGAAAGAGTCTCTCAAACAATGTTTCCCGACCTCCACGTTAAATAGCGCTATGCAATTTGAAAACCTTTTTCTGTCCCACTTAATATAATCAGTGGAGAAATGAGAAATAAAATGTACATTCAGGAGATACTCCTTAGTGATTACAATTCCAGCCACACTGCTCTGAGGACTGAGCCAGTTATAAGGGGGTTAGCTTTCAATTCAGGCCAGTTCTGATACCCTGACCTTCACACATGATTAGAGAGAGAACGTCTATTATTACAAGGACAAAATGGATCAGCCAGTGATCAGAGGTTCCTTAAATACAAAAGAAAAAGGCAAAGACATGTCACAGTAACTCTACATCTGGGTTCACCGCTTGTTCTGTTAGAGTGTAAGCTCCTCATCCAGAAGGTAAGCTGGAGGGCAGAGGCTAGCTGTCATGTTCTCTGCTGCATCCCCTGGACAGGGAGCGGTACCTAGCACAGAGCAGTGCTCACTGAGATGGTTTCAGACTAACTGCCTTGGCTGGAAAATCACTCATCTTTGTTTTTATTACTGCCTAATAAGTTAGAACAAAATTAGAAGTTTATAATAACATGAATTTATTTTTTAAGAGGTTTTTGCCTTAGGGTGTGTGTGCGAGACAGAGAGACAGAGAGACAGAAAATGAGAAATCACCCCCCCCCTCAGGGGGGGATAACCATGCCACAATACCTTCTCCTCCATTCTCCTCCCAGGATCTTGGGCATGCATACACATGCGCCCAGCATGAGTTTCAAGTCACCAGGTCTGGGACTCGAACTGTGGTCAGCCACTTGGGAATCCAGCAACATAACTGGGCATCGGTGGTCCCACAGTATGTATTTATTATTTCTCATTTCTGTAGGCTTGACTGGAGACTAAGGTTCTCACAAGGCCAAGATCTAGGTATTTGTGCATCCCCTGGACAGGGAGCGGTACCTAGCACAGAGCAGTGCTCACTGAGATGGTTTCAGACTAACTGCCTTGGCTGGAAAATCACTCATCTTTGTTTTTATTACTGCCTAATAAGTTAGAACAAAATTAGAAGTTTATAATAACATGAATTTATTTTTTAAGAGGTTTTTGCCTTAGGGTGTGTGTGCGAGACAGAGAGACAGAGAGACAGAAAATGAGAAATCACCCCCCCCCCTCAGGGGGGGATAACCATGCCACAATACCTTCTCCTCCATTCTCCTCCCAGGATCTTGGGCATGCATACACATGCGCCCAGCATGAGTTTCAAGTCACCAGGTCTGGGACTCGAACTGTGGTCAGCCACTTGGGAATCCAGCAACATAACTGGGCATCGGTGGTCCCACAGTATGTATTTATTATTTCTCATTTCTGTAGGCTTGACTGGAGACTAAGGTTCTCACAAGGCCAAGATCTAGGTATTTGCCGAGGTAGACCAGAATTTTATCTTGAGACTCTGGGAAGGATCATTTCTGAGCTCTTTCAGTGTCTGAAGGTTCAAGGTCTCTGTCAGCCAGAGCCACTCTCTGCTCCCAGAGTGTCCTTCATATCTTTCTGACTTTTCTTTCTGCTCCCAGAAGAAGAAAATGGCTACTTTTCAAGGACTCATACAAGTAGATAAAGCTGACAAGGTCTCCTTAAGGTCACCTGGCTCATAGCCTTTGCTTGCATGTGCAGAGAGCCTGTTGCAGGAGTTGCACCAGGGTCCTAAGAGTTTTCTAGAATTCTGCTTACTATACCACCCATGTCATTTTAATCTTCACACACTGTCATAAGCCCACACTTACGTTTTCCAAGACGTCCTATTGCTTTCAAAGCACCTACTCTCTTCTGGGAGTTTTGAGGAAGGCCCTGGAGTTTGGGCAGTTTATGAAGTTGACAGGAACTGGTCCTGAAATATCTGGAAATGAACTACCCTCTTCAGGTGACAGTCTTCATCCTGGCATGATTGAACTAAGCATAGGAAGCCTGCAAATGATTACATTATATCTCCTCCTCAGCACAAACTAATGGGATTCTTCTTGGTCAGATGAATTTTTCTCAACCATCAAAGCTCTTCTTGCGTAAGGTCATAATCCCTTGAGGAGGCAAGTTTTGTAGGTTTCACACATTCAGTATTCATGTTTAAGAAATCTGAAAATGAACCCGGAAACAACTACTGCCTGATGACCTAAGTCAGAAGAGCATCAAATCAGAATTTCCTGTTTGTGTCTCTTACTGCTAAAATCCGGGGTCAGGCACAAAATAGATATATAATTGGTACTAAATAATCATTTGTTGGACGTCTTTTATTTCATGTATTGCCAAATATCCTAGCAATCCATCCCTACTTCTAGATTTTATAGACATTTATTTCTTTGTATCATCCATGGGTACCTGAAACATGAGTATGTGCCCGATGCTGGTCCCTGACCTATGGTCCCGCTGCCATATACTAGAATGACTGTGTGCTGGACACAAGTCTGAGGTTTAATGAGTCTGGCCTGTTTAATCATGCACAAATTATAGTATTGGACTTCCAATATTTTAGGTCAATTATAGTCATTAAAAAATACATGATTTCATAAATCGTATGTTCAAATGCTTTGAGGAAGTTTATTATTTAGAGGTGCCGGCAGGTGGCATGGTGGTTAAGGCACTGGATTCCCACATGGCCAACCACGGTTCAAGTCCTGAACCTGGTTACTTGCTTTTTTTCTCTCTCTCCCTCTCCCTCTCCCTCTCCTTCTCCCTCTCCCTCTCCCTCTCCCTCTCCTTCACTGGTGAAATTGAAATAAATAAAGTTAAATAAAATAATTCTTTAGAAATAAAAAGGAACTGCCAGCAAATATTCTGACAAAAAGAAAACTCACTGTATTTATTCTCTATTACTGCATAAAAATATTACCATAGACCTAGTGGCTTGAGTCTGAGCACAGAGATGAACCCAGTCCCTCAGTGTCCCACTGGATCCTCTGCTGAGGGTCTCACAAGGCTCCAGACAATGTATCAGCCAGGTTGCATCCTTTACTGGAATTCTAGGGTTTCTCTCAAGCTCATATGGGTGTGACAGAATTCACTGTTCTGTGTTTGCAGAACTGGGCTCTGGTTTTCATGCTGGCTGCAGCAGGGGTTGCTCTCAGTCCCTTGAGACCCCCAGAAATTCATTGTTAGATGGCCCTTTCATAGGCCCTCTTACCATTTCCACTTACATCTCCAATTTGCTGAGATATGGACTCAAACTAGGTAACCTAACCAAGGCAATGGCAGTCCATTCTCCTTTGTGACATTCTGTTTGCTAGAAACAAGATCCAGGTTCTGAGAGAGGAGTGATGACTCACTGAGTTCACTTTAGGGTATGTCCTACACACTCACCACCCCTTAATTTCTAGGTGAGAGAGCAGCAAGAATTTCCTAATGTCTGCACTCGCTGCAAGGCAAAGAGCTTCAGCTGGTGGAACTACAGTTGCAGTATGGGAGTAGACATCATGTCTTATTCCATAGTCTACGGTGACTTTCCATTGGAAACACTGCAGTACTGGGGACCTAGGGGGACTCCAAGTCTACTCTTCTGTCAAAGCGAGCAAGTGATAAATTGAACCTCTGACGTCCTAAGCAAAGAAAGCCTCATGTCACATCTGACTAGCAGCTAGCAGACAGTCTATGAATCCTGTACCCACAGTGCAAGAACTGAAGTTGAACGGAGTGCAAAGGGGATAGAGAAAAGTCCAGAGGAACCCAGGGTGAAGGAGAGGTTTTAAGGATCTGGAGACAGCCTCTTGATGTTATTCCAGTGAAATACCTTCCCATCTTTATCTGGAGAACAGGGGACCAGCAGTTAGCATAATGGCTATGTTGCTGGACTCCCATGTAGTCGACCGCGGTTTGAGTCTCAGACCCGGTGACGTAAACTCACCCTGGGCCTGTGTGGTGTGTGTGTGTGTGTGTGTGTGTGTGTGTGTGCCCAAGATCCCAAGAGGAGACTGAAGGAGAAGGGATGGCACCGTGGCCATCCCCCTTGGGGGATGATTTCTCACTTTCTGCCTCTCTGTCTCTGTCTTTCTGGCAAGCGCATGAGCCCGATAGCAAAAACTTACAACCGGGCTGCGCCCGAGAAAAAAAACCCCTAAAAAAAAAAAAAAAAAAAAAAAAAAAAGAACAGTAGTTCTCCGTGAGGGGAAGGGGGCTGCTTTTGCCCCCACTAGAACTGAAGTGATCTGGGGAGATAGAGGGTCATGACATAGGGGGGCAGAGTGTGCTACTGAGCTGTAGTGGGGAGAGGGCAGGAATACAGCTCAGTATGCTACAATGTATGGGACCCCTCTCACAACACAGTGACCTGCTAGTAAGGCCCTTAGAGTTCCGCTGGATGCAGTTGTCTCTCTCTAATTGATACTAACCATATTGGTTAAGAGGGGCTGTGTTCTCTTTCTAGCAACTGAGTCTCTCCATGTTGCGTGTGTGTTGTCTGTTGGTCCAAGGCTGAGAAACCCTGCCAAGGAATCTCCCTGGGTTTGCCTGACTGATGCCATTACGTGTATGTGCAAGCCTGGTAAATGATGATGTCACACAAGTGCTGGATGTCTTGATGCTTTCTGAAGAGCAGGCATGTCAGGCATGTTGAGTGGCCCATAGCAGGCGCCGCCAATTATGATTGGTGGTGAGCTAGCGGCTGTCGTCTTGATTGTCCTGACCTGTGGAGAAAGCCGTTGGCTACAGGTACCTGAGAGAAAACGTAAAAGGATCTGAGATTATTCAGCCAGACACAGAATGTTGAAGACGGGGGACAGTAAGACCTCCACTAATTGATACCAGGTCTCTAAGAATTTCTGAGCAATGGAGAATGACCAACCAGCCACTTTCCTCTGTCAGCTGAGATCAGAATGATCTGGAACATCTAATGGTTTAGCAAGCTGTGATTTTATAGCTCTCAGCAAACCTCTCCATTTATTTTGGTTTCTAGGTGGAGCCCAATACCAAAGTGTTCCCAGCAGTCTTCCTGCAGCCTACAAGCACTTCTTTGTTTCAGTTTGAACTCGGGAAGCTGAAGGTATTTATCTGTCCTCTTATCTAATGACCATGACAAGAGAAGCTAACATTGACCATTAGGGAGAAAGTTTCAGGCCTTCGGAGGTGGAGGAAGAGAAGCCCACCTCCTCGTATGTCTCCCTAGACTCCTTATATTTGCTTGTAAAATTCAGATAACAAAATATATATTCTCATTCTCCCCTCTTTTGGGTGTTCAGTTAATTAATATTCATATAATGTATTATTCAAAGTCCTAAGTAATGCTAGCAAACTCCTTAGAGGTCTCCCAGATATGTTTCTCTCTCTTTAACTGATACCGACCATAGTGGTTACCATGAGCCGGATGCCTTATCCAGCAACTGAGAATCTCCATATTGTGTGTATTTTCTTCTCCAACACCTTTCCACCTTGCCCCAGAATGCAATGCCCCTATCTGCGGCCATATTTAAGAGTGAAGAGAAGAACCCAGTCCCACAGTGTCCTCCTCGGCTGGACGTCCAAACCATCCAGCCTGTGCTCTGGAGCCGCATGCCCAACAGCTTCCTGAAAGTGGAGACAGAGCGGGTGAGCGAGCGCCACGGCTGGGTGGTGCAGTGCCTGGAGCCCCTGCAGATGATGGCGCTCCACATCCCCGAGGAGAACAGGTGCGGGAGGGCCCAGAGAGGAAGGGGAAGGCCTGGGAGGTGGGCAAGATGGGCCTAGACAGCCCAGAAGAGAACCAGGAGCACCCATGTTGGATCTTGCTCAGTCCAAAGATGGCTGTTGATGTCCCTGATGCCTCCATTTCTGTTCTTTCCCATTCCCATTTCCATTATTCACTCAGATACATGTGGGAAATGCACTGTGATCTGCCTGCCACAGGGCCTTCATTGCAGCTGCTAGTGCCTGGGATCAGGGAACGTTTCCATGCCTTTAATTACAAACTAAGGGGCCCTGAAACATAATTATTTATGACAAGAAGGGAAAGAATAGGGCATACAGAGCTTGACTTAGAGAAACTAAGGTTCCTATTGCCTCTTATTAAGAGGTACTCTTGCCCAGGACTCTTGTTTTCTGGCCTTGGGTAAGTTACTCACGTCCTCTGAGCTTTGGTCTCTTCATCTACACAGTAAGAGAAATGCCTGCCTAAAAAGTTGCTGGGAGAAAAACTAATGAGACTTTATAGATAAACAACTAGTACAGTTTCTGTACATGAGAATTAAATATTTATTGCAGTGGTTATTATTATCCCTTGGTCTCTTGACCAGAAAAAAAGAAAAAGCAAGGCAGAGTTCTGCAGGACAGGGTGGAGATATTTGATGCTTACATAGCTCCCATTTAGTTATCTCGTAGATCCTACTTGGATATTATTAGTAGCTGGACAGGCTAGTACAGGAAAGGAGTAGAAAATACCAGAAATCCAGCCCAAAAAGCCAATTCTAAAGGGTCCTCACATCCATGATAAATATCAAGACAAAACAGAAACACGAAGCAGAGACCTGAGCCCAAGTCTGGTCCCACATAAATAAGGGAGCAACACACAGGCAAATAAAGCTGGAAGAAAATAGGAAGGGAAAAGTGAATTAAATTAGGCCAGCTGATCCAAGATCTGAAAATGTTCGCTCTCTAGACAAGAGTGCAGGTGTTTGTTTTCTGGGAGGCAAAACCCCATGGATGATGGTAGATTGACAATGGGCTTTATCTATGTCTTCTGAGGGGCTTTTACATCAAGAAATGGAGGATCTACTTGCAAATGAGAGGGCCAAGTCACCAAGGTCATATACCTGAATGATTGTTTATTTGGGAGTTTAGGGTTTTTCTCTAATAAAGAGCACTTTTTTAGTCTTGCAGATTTTAAGAGCCTTATAGTTAGATATGTTGGATCACCAGGAATTGGGATATGGACCAGAGCCTAGAGAGGAATGGAAGTGTGATAGAATCTCCTCCATCGTTCTATCCCTTCTGCCTATTGGGGGCTAGGTGAAACTCCCAGGGGCTAACAGAGTGAACCTGAGCAAATTCTGGTGTATTCTTCATGGTCCACTTGATTGCTTGTCCTGTTTCCAGGTGTGTGGATATCCTAGAGCTCTGTGAGCAGGAGGACCTGATGCAGTTCCACTACCACACACTGAGACTTTATGGTGCTGTGTGTGCCCTGGGGAATAGCCGAGTAGCCTATGCCCTGTGCAGCCATGTGGACCTCTCTCAGCTCTTCCACGCCATCGACAACAAGTATCTCCCTGGCCTCCTTCGATCTGGTTTCTATGATCTTCTCATCAGCATCCACCTTGCCAACGCAAAGGAGAGAAAGCTGATGATGAAGAATGAGTACATCATCCCCATTACCAGCAGCACCAGGAATATCCGCCTATACCCAGATGAGTCCAAGAGGCATGGGCTGCCTGGGGTGGGCCTGAGAACATGCCTCAAGCCAGGGTTCAGGTTCTCCACCCCTTGCTTTGTTGTGACCAGTGAGGAGCACCAGAAGCAGAGCCCTGAGATCCCCTTGGATAGTCTCAAGACAAAGGCACTGAGCATGCTCACAGAGGCAGTGAAGTGCAGTGGAGCACACATCCGGGACCCTGTTGGGGGGTCTGTGGAGTTCCAGTTTGTGCCTGTGCTGAAACTCATTGGAACCTTACTGGTCATGGGAGTGTTTGACGATGACGATGTTCGGCAGATCCTCCTCTTGATTGATCCCTCTGTGTTTGGAGAGCATGGTGGGGAGACAGAGGAGGGAGCAGAAAAGGAGGAAGTGACCCAGGTGGAGGAGAAGGCAGTGGAGGCTGGAGAAGAGGCCAGCAAGGCAGCCCGCAAGGAGTCTCCAGTCAAAGGCTTGTTGCAGACTCGATTACCTGAATCTGTCAAGCTGCAGGTAACTCTGGGCAGCAGTGATGGTGCCCTGGGGAAAAAGCCTTAGAGGGCAGGAGTGCAGCCTGGTTATGAGACTGGGACTGCAGACACTGGCCACAGCCTGCTGCTGAAAGAGTTCAGCAGAGCTGCTCAGAGAGCTCATTGGGGATGCATCTATCTGATGTGAAACGCACTTCTTAAGTCTCTCCATGACAGAATAAAACTAACCCTCATCAGTAAGACACATGCTTTAGGATTGCTTTTTCTGGCACCAGGGATGGGTCTGCACTGATCAGATCTTTCACCCTTTGTTACCAAAGTGCTTATTTGTGAAATAGATAGCTGGAGAAGGGGAGGCCTCTTGGCTGCAGAGTAAACTAAAGGGACTGGCTTACAGGGTCATCGCACCCATCACCTGCTATCATTGGGTGGCAGGCTCTGCCCACCAAGCTGATATGGCCCTGTTATGTTAGCATTCAGAGAACTGCCATCAGGCAAAGGAGATCAGTCCTACTATCAAAGCCACAGCCTTGCCCCATCTAGGAACCCTCAACATTGTCTAAAATTTAGGTTTTCCAGAAGTAAGCTAGCATCAGTGATGAACTGAGGATGACAGCTCTTGTCTTCTGCACGCTGAGAAAAGAGAATGAAATAGACTGAAACATTCAGTCTGTCCGAGTGGAGCAAGTCTGGGTCAGCCATCCCTGGTTTTCAGTTCTGCTTCTCAGCCTCTTGCTCTCTGTATGAACCTACCAAGTCCATAGCCGATCAGAGCCTGAGCTCTATTATTGTAGCATGTGGATGCTAACCCAGTATTAAAATAGGCTTTTATAAAATACAATAGCAAATGTGTTCATCCTAAAATGTGTTATAATACAGCTATCACAGTAGAGGATCTCTAATCCAGTGGGTTTGGTGGGTGGTCAGTTCATCAAAATGTGAGCATAGAGGAGAAGCATAGCCAATTTTACATACATAGCTTAAACTTTATTAAGACATATAAATGTGCTAGTTTGGTGTAGTGCCAAGACTTTCTTTAATGTGAGTCCCCTCACTGACACATAGATTTCTTTCCTTTGCATAGATGACATCTGAAACACACCATCTGTTTGCCAGTTTGGGAATTTTGTTTTGGTTTTTCTTTTTTAGAGACAGAGATTTGCTATAGGGAATGTGTGTTTGCCAGAGAGACAGAAAGCAAGAAATCACTCCCCAGAGGGGATGGCCATGCCACAATCCCTTCTCCTTCATTCTCTTCTCAGGATTTGGGCATGCACACACATGTGCCTAGAGTGAGTTTCAAGCCACTGGGTCTGGGACTCAAACTGCAGTCAGCCATGTGGGAGTCCAGTGACACAACCATTACTCCACCTTCTGGTCCCACCAGTTTGGGAGTCTTTAAAGTAGACTTTGATTTAGAGGTAATTACAAAACAACCTAAGTGCAGAATGCTATTTCAGTTTTATGATTTCCCCCAATTTTTTTATTGTCGTCTCACACTCAATTTTAGAGTGTTCTTTTCTTTTTTTTAAACAAGATAACTTGCCTTTTACACATTTCCTGGTCATTCAACTTAGTTTCCCAGCCCAGCTGCTATGGCACAGGGATAGTACTGGCACCCTGCAGTGCTGGAACCCATGCAGCCACTGTAGTTCAGATCCTAGGTTGGCCTGAAAAACACATCAGGCATCCACACGGGTGCCCAGGATTCTGAGGGACTGGAGAGCTGGAGGCCTGGAGAAAAAGAATCACAGTGTGATGAGACCATGTTGAGGGTCCTTTCTCTCTCACTCTCTGTCTCACGCATACATGGGCTTCCTATCGTGGAAAGGAAGGAAGGAAGGAAGGAAGGAAGGAAGGAAGGAAGGAAGGAAGGGAGGGAGGGAGGGAGGGAGGGAGGGAGGAGGAAGGAAGGAAGGGAGGGAGGGAGGGAGGGCAGACGGACCTAGTCTTCCTATTCATTAGCTTCAATGATTTTTAGTTAAATGATGTAATTATAGTCACAAGTATGACGGGCATAAGCTCTGGGTCCTGGTTCCCCTGATGAGAGTGGAGGTGTGCACAGCTGCCAGAGTGTCCTGCCGGGCAGGAGCATTCCATGTGCTGGCAGCATCTGTCACCTGTGCCAGACAGCCCGGAGAGCCTCTGTTAATCACACGAGGTGCTTAAGTGAAGGCAAGTTAATAGAACTTCTGCTTTAATAAAAATATCAGGAACACATGGAGGATTAGATATACAGTATGGCAAGTGCTTGGCATAATATCTGGCAAAGAGTGCTTAATGGTTATGGTTATTGCTGTTGTTATCAGAACAAGTTATAATAGTGATAAGATTACTAATAATTATGATCCAAAAGACCTGATTGTAGAAAAAATAGTACAGATCAAACAAAAGAAATGAAAGGTGGGGAGGAGAACAAACACCTTAATTTTCCATCCTCTAGGACTAAAAGATGGCAGAAAAGGAGGCAGTGCTCACGTGCATGATTTGGTGCTAGTTTTTGTACTGAAATTCTTGAAAAAATGCTGTCTTAGAAATGCTCCGTTCTCTCTCACAGGTGGATTTACTCAGTCATGAGTGAGCTCATTTTTCTCTTGTTCCCTGGCCTTGACGAGCTGGTCTCTGAATTCAGGCCAACTTGAATTTGAATAATAGCTCTATGGTTACTGCATGACACTGGACAAGTTATTTTAATTGTATAATTCCCAGTGTTATCATCTGTAATATGGAGATGTAACTTCACCAAAATACCTAACATGTTAAATATATATTTGTGTGTGCGTGTGTGTGTGTATTACCTATTTGTTGTTGCAGATGTGTGAGCTCCTTAGCTATCTCTGTGACTGTGAGCTACAGCACCGAGTGGAGGCCATTGTGGCATTTGGGGACATCTATGTCTCCAAGCTACAGGCAAATCAGAAGTTCCGCTACAATGAACTCATGCAGGCCTTGAACATGTCTGCAGCCCTGACTGCCCGGAAGACCAGGGAGTTCCGCTCACCCCCACAGGAGCAGGTGAGAGTTCCTTCTGGAGCCTCTATCCAATTCCTGTGGAAGACATCTGAAACCATACAACAGGGCACTCAAAACTTTTGTGGTGTGTAGGACAGACTCAAGAGCTATGAAAAACTAGAAGACCCACCATGGCACCAAGAGACAGGCTAGTCCTATGCTAGTAACAGCTGAGGAATATGTGCCAATTATGCTGTGTGGGAAAATAACCTCTTCTAAACTGCACAGGGGGCAGGACTTCCTCTCTTCCATCTCTCTCTCCTTCCTGTACCTCTGTTACTGAGTCAAAGACAAGGCCACTGTTTTCAGCAAGGACCTAGCACCCAGAAAATTCCTGCCAACCCTTCCAGGAGTCCCTGCCTCTCTATCAAAGACCAAAAGAATACAGGCAATGTGCTCTGACCTAAGAGAGCCAGTGCACAGTCTCCCTCACCTAAGGTATTCAAACCTCCGTGCACACCAGTTATGACCCTCTTGTAAAGCCTCCCTAACCCTGTGAAGCCTGGAAACCAAGACTCAGAGAGCAAGTCATCTTTTGGGATGTGGTGTATTTGTTCATCACATTACCTCGCCTTGTGGTCAGCCTTACTTAGGTGCGAAGACTTCTTTGAGAACCATCACAGTGCTGATGAGAAACTACTACTTTTTTTTTCTATTTAAATTTATTTGTTTACATTCATTCACTGTACATCATTACAGCATGCAAAATGAGGTTCTCCAATCAGAGTACACTGTATATTGGCTCAATCAAGCACATCGACATACATGTTACCATCAACAACTAATTTTCCACTTCTTGTTTCCTGTATGATTTTGCTTTTTTCCCCCATCCTTGATTCCCTGTCTCTCACCTTCTGCCATCTCCCACCCTTCTGAAACTTAATGAGGGAGGGATATCTGGTAAATAAGAGTTTTCGTTTATCCCCACTGCTCTGCAGCTCACTTCTACCCTGCAGGTTGATAGGCCACTGCTTCTGGGGTGTTCATAAGAGAAGATAGATCTTCCAGTAAGAATATTAGTTTTCTGTCTCTGAAACCAGATCTTTGAATCTTAAATATATTCAATGAGCAGCCTATCCATAAACTGTTGTCAGTATAATCACCACCATTTTATATTAATGGCACAACTACAACTTCATCCAATTACTTTCCTAACCTATTTAATAGAACATAGATATTTATATTAGCTTAAACATGAGCTACACAGTCAGCTTTTTAAAGATACACTTGAATGATACTGACCTTGCTAAGGTGCAGAAAAAACTTACCCCTGTGTGATGGGTTTACAATCTCTCTACATTGTTTCTTCAGCTGTAGAATGTGTGTAACGTGTGCATCTCTCTCCCAGAATTCTTGTGAAGATCTCATAAGATAACTCATTTATCTTGCTTAGTACAATACCTGTCAGAGGGTAAGCCTTCTGCGAGTGCTATGAGCTACCATGAGGTTTAGAGTTAGAGGTATTTACATTTGCCTCATGCCACGCTCTATGACCCTGTGTCAGTGACCCAATGAATGGAACTGCCATCTCCATAACTAGTAAGGACTAAGGCTGTCTAACACTGTCCTCATAGATATAGCTCTTAGTCCTAATATCTGAAGGACACTGTTGGCTCCTTCCTTCCTTTCCCATTCTTCCTCTCTACCCTCCCTTCTGCCTTCCCGGGCTTATCATCATTTCTTCCCATAGTATTCTCTCAACAGTCATTTCAGAAGTCTGTAGCTCAAGATGTTCTTCCCTTATGTGTTAGATCGGTGGTTCTAGAGCAGACATCAGAATCACCTGACAGGCTTAATAAGACACAGGTTGTCTAGTTATACCTTTATGGATTCTAATACAGTAGGTCCAGAGTGAGATCCAAGAATTTGCATTTTTATCAAGTTTTCAGATAATGCTAATGCTCTTGGCCTAGGAATGAAATGAATGAAAGGACACTAACTGCTATGAAAGTCAGCTGTCCCATCTGCCCCCATTCCCAAGTACGTACTTCTAGAAGGCACCTACCCATAGAGTGCTCAGCATGAGGGATAATTTAGTGCCATCCAAAGATAAGGAGGAATTTGATCCATTTCAGAGAACTGCAATGCAGAATCACTTGGAAAACACAATGCATGAAAATTAGATTTTTAAAATGGTAATATCTTTCCACAACCTTTGAAGGAAAAAACTGGAGATTTTTTCATCCCTACATTCAGAGAGTATTTAGAAAAGTGAAAGAAAAAAAAAAAACTTGGGGATATAACTAAGCACTAAACAAGGTAAAACCATCAGTTTGTGATTGTTGGCATAGTAGCCAAGCACGGTGTTCTTATCTCTTCTGTTGTTAACAGCAGAAAGTACCTGAAACTGGGTAATTTATAAGAAAAAAAAATAGGAGTTTATTTAGCTCACAGTTTGGAGGTCCAAGGCCTGGGAGCCATATATGGTGGGACCATGAAGAGTCTGAGACATCACATCACAAGGGAAAGA